CTTCCGATGAGCGTTTCATTAAATTCCCTGGAGGTACTTAATACCTGGAGCTCAACACAGAAGGAAGTATGCTCCACATCTGTAAGTGTTCAGATTTTAACAGTGTAAATATTTACTCTGTAATGCAAACAAAAAGTTACATCTGCAGTAACACAGTGAAGCAGAAAGGGAAGAGCACTTAAAAGGAGAATGGAGACTGACATGAAAATGTTTCAATTGCTCTCCTAGCCCAAATTCTTCCCTGGAACAAAATGCACAAGATATATCACATATTCTTGGGTATTCCAGTAATTTCCACCTCGCCTTCAGACAGATGGGCACTTATTTTTTAATCCCTTTTTTTGAAAGGTTCTCCCTTAACTCTTCCCACCATAACTCCAGCATTTCTTAAGAGAACCTATCACCACACTGAATCTACTTCTGACAACACACTATTCAACACAACGTTCTACATCCATCCTCCCCCCAAATAAAGCCAAAATGCATGATCTGCAAAATCTGAAAGGTCTCCCTATAAAGTGTAAGTAGCAATGGACAGCCCCAGGGCCACGGGGTCTCAGTCGCCTAGTGGTAAAATGAATACAGTTACTGCATACCAAAAACGAGCTGCCAGTCACTGTGCCAAGATCCATTTCTTTCTGTGCACTGTAGCTCCCTGGAGGGTTGGAGAAGACAAACTGTGTCACTACTTTGCTGCCCTCTTGCTGACCAACAACATCCGAGCTAGGAAGCAGGTTCCGTTCCACTTTAGTTGGCGTTAGTAACTCAGGCACGTTGGTACCACCAAGGCTACTAGAAGGAGTCAAAGTGGCTGTGTCGATTGTTAAATTATTGCTGGAGGTCAAACCATGCACATCTTGGCTGGAGTTCCTCACCGACAGAGAAGCCAGGGAACCCAAGGCTTCCGCATTGACGGTCTGCACGTCATCCAAATTTAAAGTGCTTTGCTGTAGAACTGTTGCGCCAGTTCCCAGCAAGAGAGAACTGTCCAGGCTCTGCGGCATATCGCTGCTGGCCACCAGTATCAAGGGGTCGACCGCCTGGCTCAAGGAGCTGTTACTGACAGGCAGGTTTCCTCCCAGCGTGGAGCCCACCGACGCCACGTCGATGGTGACAATCCCCGAGTTGACCAGCGCCATGTCGGCTGCCAGCCCAGAGCTGTTGCTGGGCACGCTGGAGAACAGGGACACGAGGTCTATGCTGCTCAGATCGCTCTGTCCCGGGCTACTGAGTTCGCTGCTGGGTGTGAGGGAGCTGCTTGCTTCGAGCTGAGTGAGGAGATCTGGAAGAGAAGGGTTTGGTTATAAGACCTTTCATCGGACAATGGGGAGGAAAAGCATGAAAGGTCAGAGGAGGAAGCTTAAAACTCTAGATTCACAGCATACTAAAACACTTTCCAACTTCCCTGAAAACAGATTTAAGGAAAAGAAGCTTACTGAATTAAGTTCACTCCTTCATTAAGAAATTTCAGTTACAAAAGCACCTGCCAAAAGATAACACTAAGGCAGTCCAGACTGAGTTAGGTTGTAGAGGAGTGAAAGAAGGAGCACAAAAACAAGTGCTTCTAGTCCTCATGCATAGTTTAGATGGCATGGAGTAGGACAGGCTCTACTCCATTCAAAAAACTGTGATTTATCACAGTTTCACAGAGGTCAAGCTCGAGTCTCACTTTCTGACACTCAGTTACAGGTCCTACTGAAAGTTTCAAGCAAAACCACCTCCAGTGTCAGGGAAGATTCTGCCATTCATATCGATGTGGCTCAGATTTCAACGTCTGTAAATAAACATTTTCCTTCATAAAACATTTAGTTTTTCCATTGCACGCTCCCATAGTCTAAAAGAAATACTTTACCTGGGCTGAAGTTATGCTGTTTGACCATGTGTGTCTTCATGCTGTGTTTGGAAGTGAACAATTTATTACAGCTCGACACAGGGCAACGAGTCTTTAAGGAGTCCACATCCTGAAGATGTTTTTTGGAGTGAATATACAGACTACTTCGTGCTGAAAATTTTGCACAACAACCTGCAAGAAGATATACAAGACTTCAAAGTTTCATCTAATTTCAATTTGAAGTCCATATTTAGTGTTTTAACAAAACAAATCCAAGTAGCTCTGCAGAACTCTATATTTGCTGGTTTGCAGCACTGAGCACACATTCAGAGGAATCAGAAGAAAGCCAAATACACATTTCCTTGGTTTACATCAAGGACATTTCAGTGGATAGGAAAGTTCAACAACCCGTTTTTGACAAGACACTTAAGTCATTCCATGGAATGACACAGCCTTTCCTGGCTATGGCATCTTAACTGTAACATCCAACCCTGTGACAAGTCTATATCTGGGGAAAAGGCACACAACCTGTAGGCAACGTACACATGGACTACCAGTTAACACCCACAACAGCTAACAGTACCTTCCACTGGACACTCAAATGGTTTTGTACCCAGGTGAGTTATACTGTGGCCTTTCAAGTGTTCTGCTCTTGTGAAGGACTTCCCACAGCCTTCCACCGGGCACATAAATCTCCTGTCATCTTCGTGTTTCCTACGAGGGAAGGAAATTGCCATTGGCACGATTAAATCCACTGCTGCTTAATTACTGGAAGAAAAACAAACAGCCAGCCAGTGACTTATGGCAGTATAATCAGAAACAGCTACCTTTTATGTCTCAGCAGCTTGGACATACTGGTGAAAGACCAGCCACAACCTTCAAAGTCGCAGATAAAAGGCCTTTCACCTTGAGCAAAGAAAGGTTACGTTAATTATCTACTCAAGAAATACACCAACACTACCACAAAATCTCAAAAGATGCTTAAATTGACCTAATTTAAACCAAGAAGATTCAAGCCTCCTCTCCCACAATTCACTGCAGAGTACAGTACAATCTGAGGGTCCCACTAGTACAATCTGAGTCTTCTTTAACTCAAGACCATCACATCTTTCCCTGTGCATAAGGGAGCAACAGATAATTATCAATCCATCTCATATTAATCTGAGCTATCTTGAAACTGCTTCATCAACCAATAGCATTATTCAAACAGAAACACAACTGAAGAGGTTTTTTTCTATTTCCATGACCTGTGATTATATGTTGATTACAACACCGTAAAGTATGTGATGCTGGTTTCCATCTATGAACTTTCACTTAACAAAAGTGACACTTTAAGAAACCAAACCAACCAACCAACCCCAAGCCCACACTGTAAAGCCATGAAACCAGAAAAACAGAGGAGAGCAGCAAATACACATAATTCTCTTTAAAACATGAAAATGCTAGATATAAACCACCCTCAGGAATACCTGTGTGACTCCTCATGTGGATTTTCAGCCGGCAAGCTTTGTCATACTGCTTGTTACAGCCAGGGAACGAGCAGGAGAACTGCTCTTGCTCTCTGAAGTGGGCTCGATTATGGGAGAATAACGCACTCACTGTGATGAATGTCCTTTCACAGCCTGGGGAGAGATGGAAAATAGTGCATCAGCTTGACACAGAACTCAGTCAGGAAAACTGCACTCTTCTCTCCCTCAGAACTTTTTGTGAGGGACCTTCATGATCTTTTCTCTAGGATAGTACATCCTGGCACATGGAAAGAAAAAAAACACAAGCAATGCAATCCTAAACTACATTACTACCAGAACTTACTATTATTTAGCCAAGGTGGGCTGTCAAAATACATGCAGCCTGATTTAGGGCATGTCACTGCAGATTTGTGCTGGGATTTATCATTGATTAATAGAATGGTTTAGGTTTGAAGCGACCTTAAAAATGACCTAGTTCCAGGCTCCCTGCTGTGGGCAGGGACACCCTCCACTAGACCAGGCTGCTCAAAGCCCCATCCAACCTGGCCTTGAATGATTCCAGGGATGGGACATCCACAACTTCTCTGGGCAACTTACCCAGTCCCTCAACACTCTCAGAGTAAAGAACTACTTTGTTACAGCTAATCTAACCCTACCCTTTTTCAGATTAAAGCCCCTTGTTTTATCACTTTTTGCCCTTGCAAGAAGTCCCTCTCCAGCTTTCTTCTGGGCTCCTGTAGGTTGGCCACACCAGCAGGAAGCCACACTCAAGCTGACTAGTGAAGGCACAGCACCTCCAGCTCCCAAACTCTCCCCCGGTGACTGAGGTGTCCTGGAGCAGGGACTTTCCTCAGGACCCCGAGGGTGACCCGAAGAGGAAGGAGAGGCAGCGAGGAGGAAAATCGAGCTGAGAGACTGAGGGCAGGGATCCGACCCTCACCCGGGCGAGAGGGAAGCGAGGCACGCCGCGGGGTCCCGGCGGCGCCTTACCGGGGAAGTCGCAGCGGTAGGGCCGCTCGGGCTCCAGGTGGCTGCGGCGG